GTTTTTGGTCTACGACATGAACACCCCCAGCCAATTTGAAGCAACTCTCCAAGGTTCACTCGTTGGACTGTTTGGAATCCACGTAGATGATGTTATTGGCTGTGGCGACCTTCAATCACCGACCTTTCAAATGGTGAAGGAACAATTGCGCAAAGCCTTTTCCTTCCGACTTTGGGACGAAGCTCAACCAGGTGCAAGTGTGGAATACTGTGGGTGCAAAGTTGAAGTACAAGATGACAAGGCTTATTTGCACCAAAACCACTACATCCAGCGCCTGAAGCCGATCACCGTCCCTGAGAGCCTGAGGAAAGAAAGAAACAGCCAGAGGCCAAATTGAATCCAAAGAGTTGACCATGTTGCGAGGTCTCCTTGGAGCTCTTCAATGGCCGAGCACTCAGGCAGCGCCATACATGCAATGTGGTGTAAGTCAGCTGGCTGGAGAAATTTCATCAGCAACCACATCCACCATCGACAAGGGCAACAAGCTCCTCCGACAAGCAAAAGCAAATGCAGATGTGGGATTGACATACCACAGGTTGGGAGGAGATCCTCGGAAAGTTACATTCCTTGGATATTCAGATGCTGCCTTTGCCTCAAGAAACGACTTGAGCAGTCAAGGAGGATATCTGATCCTTTTGACCAAGGCTGATGTACTGAGTGGCCAAACTGGACAATACAACATGATTGATTGGCGATCATGGAAGTTGCCCCGCATAGCAAGATCTTCACTCGCAGCTGAATCACAAGCAGCTGGAGAATGTGCAGATGCTTTGTTGTATGTGTCTACTTTTTGGAAGCTGCCACTGGATGCACCAAGCACTGCTACCCTTCCAGTAGCGCCAGCCATGATCATCGATGCGAAGGCCCTCTACGATTTGCTGGTGAAAGATGAAGTCCAAGCCTCACATGGCACTGACAAGAGGACAGCAATAGAGACCCTTGTTTGTCAGGACAAGTTGAAGGCACGTCATGCCGCTGTACGTTGGGTATCCTCTGAGCTTCAATACGCCGACTCCATGACGAAGACAGATGGCTCCCAGCTTTTAGCTGATCGCCTGAGGACCCACCTGCTGAAGATCACATCGGATGATTCCTTTCAAGCAGCCAAAAAGAAGGATTTCAAGACCAGGTGCAAGAACACAGAGATGTTCGCCCTAAAGAGACCAAGCAGGGCAATGCAAGCTTTGTTTGCTTTTTCTACACTCACCACAACCCTGGCCAATTCCACAAGCAATGACACCTCCTTCACCAACCTGAGCATCGAGAGTGAGTTTTTGTGTGTTGTTTTCTTCACGGGCCCTAATTGCAATTTTTCTGCAATGGTTGTTTTGGAAAACGATGTCCCTGATGCCGGGGGCTAGACGACAGCTGCCACCAAGTGAGCCACCTTCACGACCAGGTATGCTGCAAGAGCAAGAAAACAACGAGACCGACTCAATTCAATGAGGCACCCGACCTCCAACAAAGAGTTCAAGGATTCAGCAAACAGCTCACCACCCTCCATGTGGAGAATCAGAAGCTGCAGCAAGAGCACCGAGCCCTTACTTCCGAGATAGAACTCATCAACCAGGACCGTCAGAAACTGACGACAGAGCTGGATGATCTAAGAACTCGCTACAACCACCTCCATGAAGACAGAGAAAAGCTCATTGCTACCTACAACGAGGTCCTCAAGGACCGTCGACAGCTCATCGAAACCTATAACCAGGTCAAGGCCACAGCTGAGCGCGGGGAGCTTGCAATGAGTGCTGCACCAACGTAGCAAGTCTCCTCATGAGGGACCTCCAAGGAGGTGAAGAGCTGAAAGTTGAATCCAACTCCTGAGGTTGTTTAAAAAAAACTGCCACGAGAGCAGTAGCTTCGAAAGCTTTTTTCCCCACCTGCCAGGTGAGGGTTGTTAGATTTTATCACAGCTGTTCTTCTTCCGCCTCCGCCTCCGCCGCCTCCGCCTCCGCCGCCTCCTCGTCCTCCTCCTTCCTCCTTCCTCCTTGCTTCCTTCCTCGCCAATCTTCATCGCCAATCTGCTTCTCCGATCTTGTCTGGCCAGCTCCGGATCGCAGTGTGCACCCCTGGACCTCAACCGCAAGGATCCGATCGCAGTGTGCACCCCTGGACCTCAACCGCAAGGATCCGATCGCAGTGTGCGCCGCTGGACCTCAACCGCAAGGATCCGATCGCAGTGTGCACCGCTGGACCTCAACCAGATAGTTTGCCAGATAAAATCCACAAACGCACAACAAACACACAATCACAAACACACGACCACAAACGCGCAACCACAACCACACAAACACAATCACAAACCCACAATCACAAACACAACCACAAACACGCAACTACAAACACAACTACAAAGACACAATCACACACACAACCACAAACACAAAACCACAAACACACAACCACATCACAAACCCACAATCACAAACGCAATCGCAAACACACAACTACAAACACAACTACAAAGACACAATCACACACACATAACCACAAACACAAAACCACAAACACACAACCACAACCACGCAACCGCAAACACACAATCACAAACACAATCACAAACGTGCAACTACAAATACACTTACAAACACACAACTACAAACACAACTACAAAGACACAATCACAAACACACAGCCACAAACATACACACAACACACAACCACAAACACACACACGCAAACACACAACCACAACCACACAACCACAAACACACAACCACAAACACACAACCACAAACACACAAACACACAACCACAAACGCACAACCGCAAACACATCCACAAACACAACCACAAACACACAACCACAACCACAATTACAAACACACAATCACAAAGACACAGCCACAACCACAACTACAAACACATAATCACAAAGACACAACCACAACCACAACTACAAACACATAATCACAACCACTACCACAAACACAACCACAGACACATCCACAAGCACATACAAACACACAATCACAAAGACACAACCACAACCACAACTACAAACACACAATCACAAAGACACAACCGCAACCACAACCACAACAACAAACACACAATCACAACCACAACCACAACCACTACCACAACCACAAACACACAACCACAAACACACAACCACAAACACACAACCACAAACACACAACCACAACACAACCGCAACCACAACACAGCACACAACCACAGCACACAACCCGAGGACCCACAAGCAACATCGAGAACTACAATACTAACGGCATCTAACGACTATGGCAACATGCTCCTCACTATGGCATCAAGATTGAAATGTCATGGTGGGGATCACTCGAAGTAAAGTAATTACCACCAATGTGAAATGCACTCCATGCATTGGTGTGTTTGCTGTTTGATCCTTGGAGATCTGCGTATCGCCGCTGTTCAAGCTGGGGCGGGCGATGCGCGCGCGACAGCCATAGGCTGCGACTTTGCAGGTGGCGACTTCCACCTGAGAGACTAAGGAGAAAAGAAGCTTGGACCTCGAGCGCCGAGCGTTTTGCAAGTGTTCACCACCTCCATTTGCAGAGTTCACTTCAAGCGCCACTTGAACCTCATTTTCCACTTCACCTACCACTTCCGGTTGCAACCTCCCTACCAGTGTGAATACTTGCCCACTTCACACACACACATATATATATATATCTGTGTGTGTGTGTCTGTTTGCGCCCAAAACGCAGTGGAAACTTGCCCTCTGCGTGGCTGCATTCACGAGCCCAGTGCTCACGCCTGTTGAGTGCTTCAAGCATCAGCTGCATTCAAGCCAGGCACCATGTCTCTCGAGCTGGGGTGCAGCCACCCTTTGATCACTAAATCACCTTCAACTTCATGGATCGGGCCATGCGCGCAGCCGCTTTGAAGTGGGGGCTCCCCTTTCAATACCGCGCATGCCCTGGATCCTCCACTGCCTTCATGGCAGTGTCGTCAACCAACTGCTTCATTTCTCTTTCCAAGGACTTGTCTATCTGCCCAGGGCATCTCTCATCTTCTTTGGCAGATTTCTCAGGAGAGTAGCCAGACGGTGGCATTGGTCACAGCGTGCTCCCCGCTTCTTTGGGCCAGCTGCCCGTCAGTCCTGGCCTGCTTCTTTTCCACCACTCACTTCAGAACCACTGCTGCTGGTTTGTTTTCGCCATTCATGTAGTGCTCCTTGTCCTTGATGATCACTGCAGTTCGCCTGGCAGCATGGGCATAAATATGAGCCTGCCTGTCGTCTGCTCCCTTCAACTCTTCAAGCTAAGTCTTGGGATGCTCCTCCTGCGCCCGATCTTGACCCAACCTCTTTGCTGCCACATATTGCGACCATTGCCATGAAACCACACCAGCAGCCTTGAGCGTTTTGGCTGGCGCGTTCAGCGGTGGAGTTGGGATTGTGCATTGAGTGTGACCATGTAAGGAAGGGGGAGTGCCCCCCCCTCGATCAAATCCTCCTTGCTGCGCCTCATCGGCTTGCGTTTCGCCGTTTCTTGCGCGCCTTTGCGCCTTGCCCATTTCCTCCTCTCTCTGTCCGTCTCGGTCTGCCTGGCTCGGTCTGTTTGTCTCGGTCTGTCTGTATCGGTTTGTCTGTCTCAGTCTGTTTCGGTCGGGCAGGACACACACGGATGAACACACCCACGATGTTAGTAATGCAATCTTCACCGGGCTGCATAACTGGCATCGCGAGCGTTTCCTCCAAAACCATACGGACAATCACGCACACGATCCATTTTCAAAACACGTTCTAGCCAAAAAAACGTTCCCCCAAACAAAACTTAATTAAGCGGATTTATCCAGCAGCTATCTTGCGGTTTACGCGACAACGCCTCAGCACCTTTATCGCGGGCGGATTTTACATATTTTTTCTTCGTAATGCAAGCATACCTTACACCAGTGTAACTCTACACCTGAACGTTCTCGGGCCATTCACCGTGTAGTCTAGTATATTCAGAACATGTGTGCAGCTTGCTGGATCCATAACTTGCCTACTTCACGCTCTCCTGCGCATAGCTAAGGAATGGAATCAGCAAGACGGACGATTCTTCTGGCCAAACTGTGGAAAGTTTGTTTTCCGTGGAACGCGGACTCATTTGCAGAATTCATACTTCATTGTCTCCGTCCTGACGGGCAAACCGCCAGCCTTTCTAGCCAACAACGCGTTTCTTGGTGCGTAATTTTTGTGTGTCAGATTTCGTATACTACAGTCCTACCATTTGTGTCAGTTTGCCATTTATGTGCTGAAGGACTATCGCCAAGATGGAGAAACATGCCCCGGCGCCACACAGAGTGCTGGGCCGCTGCTTGCTGAACCTGACATCTGTGTCTTCGCTTGTCAGACTTTTGCAACGAAGTCTGTGAGAAGTCTTGCGAAGTCTCTAAGTCTCTAAGAAGTTCCCCTTTCACGCACCCAGTCCCTAAGCTTGCTTGCGAAGTTTTTCTGAAAGTATATATTTGTGAGGGGAGTCCCGGCATCGAATTGGCTGAGTGTTGAGGTGTTGGACATGTCGGTCTTTCAGGGCAAAGTCAGAGCGTCAGCTTGTCGAGATGTGCTACAGCACAGCATTCTGAGAATTGCGATGCCTTTTGATTTACGCACCACCGAGGTCAAGCGGTTCACTCCAGATTATGAAAGATACATTGTTGGCGACATCAACGGCAATGTGAAATGCATCCTGCGCTCGAAGGGCATGAAGGCGACCAAATCCAATGATAGTAGCTTTGCACAGGCCATTGGCTAGTGGTCCTGAAGTTTTTTCAACCTCATGCCTTCCAACCCTCCGTTTATATTTCCTTCATATTAGGGTCCAGTGTGCAATTTTGTTGCTTACCGCTGCAACTCACCACATGCCTGTGAACAGTGGAGGAGCCCGAGCTGGACTTTCGCACCAATCGTCCAGAGCAGCTCAAGACTGCAACTACAGCTCCTTGATTGAAATTGGAATGCTGTTTGTTGACATTTTTGCACAAGCAGCTTTGCTGTGAGGGGTTCTCACTTCTTGCATGAAAAACGATCCTGGCCACGATGATTTGTGGCCTTTTGTTTCCCTTTGCCTCCCACGACTCTTCTGGATGCTGGGCTGAGCTGATTCTGCTTTGTCTCCCTTGGTCCCCCAAGTCTAAGAAACAAGACGCTCGTGCAATCAACTCCATAATATGAATTAGGGATGTATAGGAAATTGTGTGGCTCGTGGAGGCTTTGGTGGCGCCAGTGGCGCCTCGTGTGTTTCGTCAGGTTTTGTGGTTTCTTGCAGCTTTCATTTCATTCTGTTGGTTTTGGTGGCTTCTGATCGCTTCTGGCGGCTTCTAAGGCTTTTGTGTTTCTTGACAAGGAGGCCCTCGCCCTCCCCCAACCCCTCTCCAGCCTACACAAATGGATCCTCCAACAAATCCCACTGAAAGAGTGTGCGAATTGAAGTCTTGAAGGTCTCCCACTTGAACCCGTACGAACGCCATTTGGTGGTCCGTCGCCCGAAAGCAAGAAGTGCAGCTTTTTGAGCTTGCCTTCGCAACATGTGGCATTGCATGTTGAGGTGTCAAGAAATGCGAAGCCCTACCGGTTGCAGACTTTGATACTGGAAGCTCTGAACCTTAGGCTGGTGATAGTTTACAATCATAGATCGTATCATTCTTGTTTGACCTCGCGCCAAGATCATGCCAACACGTATCAACATGTAGCAGTTACGTAGATCTAAGGACCCATACCTGAGATGCACTTGGGACAACATGGTCATGCTGTCGCCTGTAGTGAAGCAATCCTTGCGCCCGGTCTTCAACCAGAGCTTCTATTTTCCGGTGAGGGCAACTCGACTGCAGCCGCAATTGAAGGAAATCAATGGAAGCACATTTTGCGATCCACCACTGAAGATAGCAAGGGGACGAATACTCAGCGCCAAGACAAAAAGAATTCAACAGCAGTGCAGTACGTAGGATGACTTTGACAAGTAGTGGCCACATGGCCAACTAAACACCCAAGCTGAACTACAAGACCTTGTGTCTCTATTTCTTTTATGAGCATGGGCATGAGGTGGTCTTCCCCGAGCTCCGCATGGGTTCAAAGGCTCCCAGTTGCAAATGCTGGATAAAGGTGTTCAAGCAACATATCATTTTGTTTGAGTATGAATGTGATTCCTTCACCAAGGCTGAAAAGAAGTATCAAGACAGCATTTTAAAGTACGAGCTGACCAGCAAAGGCCATATTCAGATACAGGTGTGGGACGATGATGTGACATCCGCTGACTGCCTGGGTGGGTGCCAAGTCACACTGGGAGATATTCTCAATGTACGAGCAACGCAGAAACGAACCCTGTTGGGTCCCTTGGCGGCTGAGAAGAAAGATGATGAGGATGAGAATGAGTTCGAGGCAAAGCAAGAAAAACACAATCAGTGGTATGAAGAGCCCAGATCGGTGCGTGTCTATGATGGCAGCAAGACCGCGCTTGGCCAATCAGCTTTGGCGAACAAGGATGCTGCGCTGATTCACTTTGAAGCTTATTTCTACCCGGACTGGGCTGAAACTCTGAGATTTGAGGATGAAGTGCAGGAGGTCGACGCTGAATCGGTTTGGGCCAAGAAGGAAGAGGAGTGGAATTCTCGGAACATGCAGAAGGCTGAAGACTATGCGCTGCCATTTCCGGATTCCATAGGCGCCAAGAAGCCAAAAGAGGAGAACATGATGCAGACGGCAGATTCTTTGAGACGATTTCCTTGCATTGGCTTGCATCCTTTGACAAGGATAGAGACTCCTTTGATGGCATTCGTGTCCCCCATTATCATTCCAGAGGAGTGGAGTTTTCCGGCAAAGCTGTTGGAATGGGTACATTGCTTGTCTTTTGAGATTACTCAGCGTCAAGCTCGCATTGGTCTAATTCCAAGTGACGGCTGGAAAGACCCTGAGTATGTTCTTGCCAGACGAAAGGGAGCTCCTCAAGATCATTCAGTCTTGCTGTGCTCCCTCCTGCTGGGTTGCAAAGAAGACGCGTATGTGGTGAAAGGCACCGTATACTCAAAAGATCCGCTGGCAACTATGGAGAAGTCAGATCAACTGATTGAGCATACATGGGTTATGACACGCAAAAATGGATGGGTCACCTTTTGGGAGCCTTGCAGCAGACAGATTTTTCACCTTCCTAATCGATACAATCCAAGAAAGGTCAAGAAGAAGAAGCTGGAACAACTCGCTGTGAAGGCCTGCAAGTTGATCAATTGTTCCGATAATCGTAGAGTCCAGACTTGGATGATGCTGTCTTTGCCGGCCAGGAAGAAAAAGAGGAAGAAGAACACGATGACGATGCCGACATAGAACGCCAGCAGTGGGAAGGTGCGTGGATGATGACCGTAACGAAAGGACACACATTTTGCACAGGCTATTGTGCTGTAGTTAGCGTCCCGTGCAGCAGGAGAGGCTGAAGATTGCAGAGTGCATTTGGAAGAGATGGAAAGCTTGCCAACTGTAGGGCGTATGCTGGGGTCTCAGGAGCTTTGTTGGTAAGCAGTTCAGTTATATACTGCAAAAGAGCTTATCCTTGTCATGTGAGTGTCGGAGTGATCCTGCTCGGGTGCCTCACAGCTCACAGCCATCCAGGCCAAAGCCAAAGACAAGATCGGACAAGGCAAAGAAAAAAGACGAAGAGCCGGGCCGTGAACGCCTGAAGCGTGAGCTCATCGAGCAGCGTGAGGCTGGTAGAATGGCCCTGCAACTGGTCTTGCATTCTGCTTTGCTTTGCATGGCCAGAGGCCACACATCAAACAAATCATGACATCACCAGCCTGCGCGACCACAGCTCACAGATCAAATCGGTCCAACATAAAACAACAGGTTTGTCAATGTGGCATTTGACAAACTTCCCCTAGGCCCTAGACTGTAATCATCTCTCGCCATATCCGATAGCCAGTTCTTGACGTGTCAAATGCTTGAATGTTCTCGTCTGCAGGGTCTGCCAATTGCCCCAAAGAGGAAGATGCTGCAGGACCCTGCTTTCAGTGATTGCGCATTCTCGGCGCACATTTTTCCCCAAACAGGTTACTGTCAGGGGTTCTCAATGCTTTCCAAGAGTGTCCGCCTTGCTGCGAGAAAGCGCGTCCGCCTTCCGTCCCGCTTGTCACCCTTTGTCTCCCTTCTTGTTGGTCACTGTGTCCGCCTTGTCTCCCTTCTGTTTCCTTTTGTCTCCCTTCTTGTCTCCCCTCTTGTTGTGTGGTGCTAACCTCTGCCTTGCAATCCTTTCCATTTTGTCTCCAGCTCTGGACTGCTTTGTGTCTCCCAGCTCTGGACTGCAGTGTCCGCCTCTGCCTCGCAATCCTTTACATGTGTCTCCCAGCTCTGGACTGCTGTGCCCGCCTCTTGCTTGCAACCCTTTACACTTGTCTCTCAGCTCTGGGCTGCTGTGTCCGCCTCTCGCTTGCAATCCTTTACATGTCTCAGCTGCTGTATCCGCCTTTGCCTTGCAATCCTTCACGTTTGTCACCCAGCTCTGGGCTGCTGTGTCCGCCTCTCGCTTGCAATCCTTTACATTGGTCTCCCAGCTCTGGACCGGTGTTGCTGTGCCCGTCTGAGCTGCTGTGTCCGCCTCTGCCTTGCAATCCTTTACATTTGTCTCCCTGTGTCTGCATGTGTCTCCCAGCTCTGGACTGCTCTGTCCGCCTCTGCCTTGCTGTCCTTTACATGTGTCTCCCAGCTCTGGGCTGCTGAAAAACACAAACTGTTTGGGGTCTACGGTGGTGTAATTTCTTACTGTATGGAGCGCGTGTGTCAACCTATTGTGAGGGCTTGATTGGTTCGAGCAACCACAAGCCAGCCCAGGAAGAGCAGCTAGTGACGTGGCTGCCGTACGATTCCATCGAGGCTGTGGGCCAGTGTGGTGGGTCCCGCAGAAATAGTCTGCAGAGTCCGCACCTATGCGAGCCTTCATAGGCGTATATATATATATATATTAGGCTGAAATGACAAAGGACTTGTGAAAACTACCTCCAAATTGCGGCGGCTAAGTCATGAAGGTTTAGCCTACCCCCCACAAGTATTTATGTCATGAAGCAAAAGCTTGGAAAAACCTCGAAATCAGAGATGCCAGAGGTTGTCACCAAAGATCCTAAAAACAGTTGATTTTATATTGACAAGCATCATGACATACGACTTTGGTATCTAAACAATGAATAAACCATCGAGAGATAGGAATTTGAGAGCAAAAACGCGCAAAGGCAGACTTAAAGCAAAAGATGTTCCTATGACATGTGGACTTTCATTAGCTCTAGTCTTCCAGGAGCATGCCCCCCACCAACCCCCCCCAAAAAAAAACACTCAGGACCAGGTCAACAAGGCCTATGTCATGAGTGTGTGCCAATGAAATTGCCCTGTATAACATTTGTACATGACTTAGGACTTGCCCTGGGAAAGTTGTATGTCATTTCGACCCAATTGGCCTAAGTCATCTCAGCCTAGTATACATACAATTCTTCAAGTTTGCATCGCATTTGTGATTATTTCTGTTCTAAATGAAGTGACAGTATCCGTGCGCGACAATTCGAGTCGCACTCTCTTATATGTATATATATATGTGTATATGTAAGCGTTCTTGTTCTTGGGTTTGTCAACAATGTGGCGGTTCTGAAGTGCAATGTATAATGCCAGCGAATCACGGCAAGCGGTAGGCACATGGTTTAACCGCGCACAACAATAGGCCAAGACACGGCCAGATAGCCGAGAGAGAGAGAGAGAGAGAGAGATAGAGAGAGAGAGAGAGAGACAGAGACAGAGACAGAGGCAGAGACAGAGAGACAGAGAGACAGAGAGAGAGAGAGAGAGACTGGTGGCCCAAGACCGTGAGCGGTTCAAGTGGGCGCCCTTCATAGAAGAATCTTCCTGGGTGGTGGCGTTGGCATCATGACTGGTGGCACAGAAAGTGCTGTGTGACTATGTGTGCAAGGCCTGCCACACGTCGTGGATATGGTCTGATCGAGTGGCCTCGACCAGGTGGTGCTGTGAGGATTGCCGGCTTACAACCCAAGAGAGTATGCAGAAGTGATGACAATCATAGGCGGCCAAGAAAAGAAAGGCGTGGACAGCTGATGGCAGTGGGCATTGACTATACCCTGCAGCCCGGAGCGCTGGAAGTGGTTTTGCGTGCGGGCCTGGGCTCTCTTCCTACAGAGGCCAACTAAGTGGTGCAACCCTTGACTGTTCCTGCCAAGGAGGGATCCAAAGATGTCACAACAAAGCTCAAGGCAACTGTTGGCGAGCTACGTCAGCTGACCAACAAGAAAGCAGGACGGCAGAAGAGAGTTGATGTGGCCAAAGAGACCTACAAATTGATGCAAGCAAGTCCAAGAGGCCATTGACGAAGAACAACAAGAGCTGACGGCGCAATCGGAAGCATATGCCAAGCAGCTGAAGGAAGAGCCGGCAGTTCTCCTTCTGTCTGACCTGCGCGAGATGGACCAGGATCCTTGTCTCTCTGATTCATTCTCTTCGCCTAGCACGTGTTCTGGAGCGTTGATGTCTGCTTGCTGTGTTCTTTTTGCTGGTTCTTCGAGGCCAAGATCCTGCATGCCCCATTCTGCAACTCCTCAGGCCACTCTTCAACAAGCTGCGGTACCTCCCCATCATCACAGTACCACATGATGTCGCCCGCCACCAGACCACAAGTGTAGTGACCGGAGCCTCGTTCCTCTCCAACATGCGACACCACTGCTCTCAAAGTGAAATAGCTCCAGTTGGCATGTCCAGTCGTGTTTCGCTGCGCCACCTGGAAGCGCTGGTTCAGGAAGAGGGGGTTGTGTTTCTTCCACTCCTTTCCTTGCAAAGGGTATCTGCCAATATGGAATAAGGCAACATGCTCCGCTTCTTCCGCAAGACACTGTCCATGCTCCTCATTTGCCCAATGGCCCAACATGGCTCAGCAGCGCCTCCAGTCCGATTCCTCCTCCAAATTCCTTGCTCATTCGAACAAAGATGGGCACCGTTTGATGGTGACGGGCTCGATTTTGCACCAAGCTCTTCCACTTGCCTTGCAAAGAGTGCTCTGGGCTGTCAGCTGCTGCAACCCCCCACACTTTGCCCAGGAATTCCGAAATATCTTGTCCAGCATCTGGGTTTTCCGTCCACTCAAGGAGGGGCGCAAACTCTGAAGCACAGTGCAAGTCCTTGAACTTGATCAGGGATTGCTGGAGCACCTGCAAGCGAATCTTGGTCGTTTTGCCCCACAGCAAGTTAGGCTCCGTCAGAAAGGCGCCCATCCACCACCAAGCTCTGATGACATTGTTTGCGAAGCAACGATTGCCAGGGTTTTCAAAACAAGCTAGAGATTCCAGCCGCAAACCCTTTAGGCCAAGTGGCATCCACATCAGCGCAATGGAGCGCCATCCTCATAGTTTGGGCAACTTTCATGTTGGGAGCTTTGAAAAGCATCATCCTCCCCAAATGCGTTACCTTGGTCCATTAGTCTTTGAAGATGAGGCGCAAGTGGTCGCATTCTCTACAGCAATTGATGGTTCTGGTGATGCGCTAATCTCTTCATTGCCTCTCTGTCCCCGTCCCAAGAGGGGCTCTCAGGCTCTCAGCACCACTTGCGCTCCCTTCAAGAGTCCCGCAGGTAGCAGTCCCCCGACACCTGCTTGGACAAAGAAGAACGCAGCGCCTGAGTTGTTCACTTTGACCTGGATTCGTAGAGCAGGTCTTCATTACTCCTTCATGAGAAGATCCCACCTGGTGATGAAGTAAAATCACAAGCACTCATGGACCCCAGATTGATCTCATGACTGCTAGACCCACTGTCGTATGCCATAGGTGTGTCGTAATGAGACAAACAGCAGGTGTACGGCTGAGGGCCCAAGCACCAACTATCATTGTTGATTGCATTGATCCCCAATCATTGCAACTGCCCAAATTACACATCCAAACGCTCTCAAACTCACAGCCTCCAAATCCACCTGCGTGCACTGCACCCTCTCTCATGTTGAAGTTGCCTCTAGTGGACCCCATTCGCACCAGCTGCAAACCTTCAACTTTTCCCATTGGCAGCTCTTCAACCCCCCGATCCAGGTTACCCAGACGACGGGGTCTCTACACCCTTCTTGAACCCTCTTGAGTCTTGAGTATACTTTCTGCCAGATGGCGCTCCAAATCCTTCTGTTGATCCGTGGTGAAAACGATGCCGGCCTGCGCAATGGCTTTGAGCGTCTCGAGGTCAGCTATAGAGGCAAGATGGGACATCATGTCGGCAGTGCCAAGTGGAACCTGCCTTTGCACCAGTGGTCAATTTTGCGCAGATGGTTCGCCGCTGGCCAAACACAAGCCGATGAAGATTCAAGAAGTGCAAGAGCCTCATGCGTGACCGCGACAAAGTCAGTGGAGGTTGGAAGTTGTCGGGTCACGTAGAGATATAGACCGCTACCTGTGCAAAACAGTGTTCCAGTGTTCCCTCTCTAGGGTGGAGGGAGGGTCTAGATAGAATGAGTGAACCTTGCCTGGGATTTCTAGAAAGTCTCATGCTCATGTTTGGTACACGAAGCCGGGCTTTTCTGCGAACCAAACGAACAACGCGCGCGTTTGATAAGAATTCTCACAAACTTGTGGGACACAAGGCTGCGTGATCTTGGAAAGACCGCATGCCAGGAGCGCAAGGAGCATCCAGACACAGGGTGCCAGATATCAGACGCAAGAAACTCTAGTCTTAAAGCCAGCAAGCCAGCAGAGCAAAGCAGTGCTGAAAGGCCTCACGATCAATCGTGGTCTTCAGTTTTCAATTCTATCAGGTCGAGAGTCTGCTAACAACCTTACGCACGGAGATGTGGCAGTGCTTCCGCACGGGTGGCAAAGAGTAGTTAGCGTCAGCTTTGCCCATCAGCTTTGCCGGCCCATGGAATCCGGTTGGGGTTCCTTTACGTGTCCCTACCAGATGCTTCCCACGCCGAAGAAATCGACAAGAAACCAGGCAGTATCTTGACTGCCCTATGAGCCATCTTCGGTCAGGCGGCGCTCCTTAAGATGTGGTCCACGATATCCGCTCCCCTCGAAAGCGCGAGAACTCTGTACAAGTCTTTCTGGTTTTGGTTCGACTGCTGGTGGTTGCAAAGTTTGTGCAAAGGGCCTGAAACTTGCTTCATGAATTCCCTCGGCCACGGATCTTGCAAGAAGTGCTCCAGCCCGATCATCCATCGTTGAAAGACGACGTCCTTTTACCAAATGGACCGTCCAATACATCAATACCTGGACCCAACAATTCGACGAGGCGATTCAGGACTCCGCCACCGAGATCATAAAACTCCTCCAAGCCTCCGGAGCCACTGAAGCCCAACTCCAAGAAGCTGCAGTCCGCTATGGCATCCCGATGCTCAAGGTCCCTAAGATCAACCTTCGCAGCCTGCAGCAACTGGTGGCCATTGGGGCCGCCATGGCTTGTTGACTTGCATTACCCAGCAGCCGAGGACCCACCCACACCCTGCTTCACCAAATCCGCACACTACACAAAGCATGGGCCCACATCCAACACCATGCCAACTACATTGAACGCGCTGAAGCCATCTATGCCGTAGGATTACTCCATTTGACTGCCTTATTCTACTTCCCTTCACACACTTTCCACTCCAAACAATGGCGTTCCCGCTTTCAGCAACTCCGGATCCACCCAGACAACTACACCTTTTCCCAATTCCTTGCTCCCAACTCGGTCTACGTCAAACTCTATTTCAACTCCCACGACACGCAACGATGCTATCACCAGCACGGACATTGTTATGTGGGCTCCACCGCCATCGGCGTCCCAGAGGGAACACAATCGCCGAGCCAAACTCAAGCAATTATCCAAGAACACACCCATCTCAGCTGAACTCTCCCTTCGCTACTGGCAT